CAGTCGATTTATCTGTCACAAAGAGCTTTGAAAATATGACGTGATATGGCACTAATATTCGTATACCCTAATGTTTTTCAAGTTCACGTTTTACTGTTGGATCTAGCAGGTGGTAAAGATTTGCTGCAGTAAAATTTCCAGCATCCGCAGCAAGTTGAAATAAACTAGTTGAAACATAATAAATTTAAATGTGATTTGTGTTATTTAGATTTTAACATAGCTTTTTCCGTCAGATCGCTACGATATCTGAAGTTTGACAGTTTCAAGTGATGTCTAGCAGAAGGGCATCATGCCGCAGACACGTGGCATGATGTCCCACCCAGTCACATCATCCTGACACCTGGCCAACCAGTCCTAACACTAACCTCTTAATGCTGATCGCCAAGCGAAGCAGCTGTTAGTACCATGTTTGTATTTGGTATGACTCGGTCAGTGTTCGAACCCGAGACCTCCCGCATCCGAGGCGGGCACTCTAACCACTAGGCCACCGGAGCGGTAAGGGTGTAAATCCTGTAGAAACAGATATGCAAAGTTTTGCAAACACAACGGTTCTCTGTTTCATTTGTTTGAGTTGTCTATGTTTTGTATTTGCCTTTGAAAAAGACTCTTTAAGAGCCGAAAGCGCTGATGCTATTTAGGTACTAGTTAGGTGCTAGTAATATATATATATATATATATATATATATATATATATATATATATATATATATATATATATATATATATATAGAGAGAGAGAGAGAGAGAGAGAGAGAGAGAGAGAGAGAGAGAGAAATCTTGCTTTATCATCATCAAATATTGTCTAAGACAATTATGCATATCACTAATGTAATTGGTCTTAATACGAACACATGGGCACACCTGTTCAAACTGCTGGGGCACACCTGCTTAACTTGCTATCATTGTATCCGTTTGTGCTTGGAAAAGAGCTTTGTGATCAGTTAGATTATTAGATAAACAATTTAACTGCTAACCTTAGTGTTATTTGTGCATCATATTCCTGTAATTTTCATAAACGTAATGCGTGCTACACTATTTGAAACGCCTTGGATATATATCACCATTCACGATTCAAAGACCATGTCCTTATGCTACTTAGTCCGATGAACCGAGTCAAACGGTGTTATAAATAATCCATTTACTATTTTCTATTTATGTATCACTTCTTAATGTTTACACCTTAGTGACTATTAAAATAGCACAATTATTTTTATAAGTCAGAATAAAAATCTAAAACTAAGTAGGAAATCGAATGAAGATATAATTATGTTTTATTTACATACAGATGGGTATGCAGAACGATTAGTCTAATTGTTAACAGATGCAAAACTCACTTCAGTCCCGAAACTATTCTCGAACAAAATTACAGACTATGACTCTGATATGACATGGGATGCGATTGTTCAGCTTATAAATTGAACGGGAACATTGTAACTGGTGTATATGTTCTATAATTTCCTTAGATATTAGTAAACTTCAATGAATAACTGAAGTATTGCATAAATGCGACTAGATTATATAAGTGCGCATGCTGCCAGAACAAAACTCGTAAACTAAGCCCTCACAACTTGAGCAAACAATAACAAAATGATGTTGAATGCCTGAGACTGTTTTCCGATAATATATCCTATAATTTACGTTTTGCAAGATGATTGCATCATAAATAATACAGTATTCCACTATATCTAATTATGTCTCCTCTTAAATCCACCACGCCTTTACTGGCGGATTATAAAATTATCCTGCTTTGTTCTTTCTTCATCTGGCTTTTAACTGAATGTCAGTATTGCGCAATACATATTCTGTAACTAATCTTTTTTCCTGATATAATATACTATAGTAGCATATATATATATATATATATATATATATATATATATATATATATATATATATATATATATATCGCGAGTCATTCATTTAAAAAAGAAAAGAAAGTCTGCCAACGTTTACAGCTAATTAAGCTTTTATTTTTCAGAAGAATAAACAAATTACACCAGTAAAAACAAACACCAAGCACAAAATTAGAGTAATCAAGGAAATTAAATGAAAGGGAAAATTTAGATATCAGAAACAAGAGTGAAATCACGGAGCCCACACACACACACACACACACACACACACACAATGAACATCGAACATCTGTGGAATGTAAAACTTACACACTGAAGCAAGATACGACCAACGAAATTATGGGGTAATCTAATTGATTGTGATGATATTAATGAGCCAGAAGCAATGTGTATAAGGATTTAAAACTGAGTTCTTTCACCGATTCTATTTTGTTTACATCCAAAATCCAGTTTATTCTCTTGCAGATTATATGAAGTTTAATTTCTTGCTAATTTTCAATACCCAATATATGTCTTTTTCTTTTGAAACGTACATTATTTTTCATTGGTGATAAGGTTCAGTTATTAGATAAAATTTCCAAGTTAGCTTTTTGTATGAATTATCTCCGTTATGAAAGTCTCATTATATTCGATTCAAGAGTCAACGACGGGATTTTGCCAGAGTTGACTAATAACTATTCTTGCAAAATAATTACGCTAATCATGTCTTTCTTCATACAAAATATTTTGACATCAAATTCAAATATTAAAAAGTTCATCATTTCGTAAAACTTTCACATTCTACGCAGTTACATTCTAATACATAATTCGTGATTGATTTGGTACTAATACAAACATATTTCTCCAATCTGGATCAAAGATATTCTCTTGCGATTACACAAGAATTATTACTCTGTTTGCTTCGATCATATGCCAAATTTTCCTAAATTTGCATGGATTCATGATAGCATCACAATTTGTCTACAATCTGTGTTGAAGCAATGCGTTTTCTGCTTGGGATATTACGAATATCAAATTGCAGAGTATTTTTCGTCATATGAATTTACCGTATGTGGTTTTGGCTATGTTTATATTCCGCGTGATTCAAAGTATTAAACCTTCATTTAAAAACAATCATCTGGAAGCTCACTTTATGTAGACATTTAAAGCACGATTGCATCAGCTTCACATAAAATTGTTCCTGAGAATGAAAGTGGTTTGCCATGGATGATTCTGCAATTATCAAATAATGTTTCTGATATTCCTTCAGGAACGGTTAAAATTCAATATGGAATCAATTTCTGTAATGGAGAAGCAATGTTTACTTCTCAGTGTGAGTAAATATTATCAAACAGAGATATTATAGTTAGTGTAAGTAACTTTGTCAAGGCAGCAGTCCATATGTGCAGGCTAATGAGGGATTGCATTGTATTGATCAATTGGAACAGTATCCACAAAAATTGACGTCAGGTCGAAAACAAGTTTGGTTGTTTAAATCGATTGGGTTATTTTTTCTGCCTAATCAGAAGATTATTGTAAAACAATATATTTAAGAACCCATTGAACATACGTGTAAACGTTGAGCTAAAAAAAATCATGTTTTGTTCAATATAAACAAGAACCTTAACATGTTAACTGTTTTTCCGATACATTAGCCCGAAGCAAAACTTTAAGTTATATGGTATATTATACCTTTTTAGTTGCCTCTTAGCTGAACATTAACGTTTTAAGATATTGTGATGGAATCAAAATAAAGTTACTGAAGTGAAACCTATATCTAAATACGTTGACATACTATAAGAAATTGTTTTGGCCAAGATACAAGGTCAATTTTACAACATGCGTACAAACGTACTTTTTACATCACTTTATTTAGTATAGTGTAAACTATAGCCAAAACAAATTATATTTGTATGGTTGCTTTTCTTTGCAAAACTAATATTTCAAAGCAAGTCAAAATCAGCAACAAATTGTTATTTTGGCCAAAGGTAGAGCCATCATTGGTATTTGTAGGCATTTAAACACCAGAGCCATAGTCTAAAATGATGTGAATAATGTCTGTATCTTGAAGATATTAAAAGATCATTTTAGTTCTTAATTGAAGCCTTGACCCAAGATGAACATATTTTACATCAAAAATGAATTTCTTTTTTTATTAATGGTATTCATTTTAACATTCCGCAATAGTGAAAGTGTGTCTATCACCGTCACATGTACAAGAGTACTACATATCACTATTTAAATAGTAATATACAATAACACTATTATAACAAAGCGAGCACATTATAATAACGTAAACTGTTGTACGCATCATAAATAGCTCAAGGCTACATTGTGTTGAATTCAACCATTTTAAGACTAGTAAAATATTCCTATAATTTTTTTATAATAGCAATATTGTAAATATCATGATGTAATATCTATTTGCATGTAAGTACAGATGTGATAAACGTTTGGTCAACGAAAGCTGTGCCGCCACATATCATTAAAGTAAATGGGAATAAAGAAAGAATACCTCCTTAAGGCATAACTAAATAAGAGTGTTTATATGTCACAGAATGCGCTGAGAAGGTAAGTTACTGTTTATTGTACAAATTTATGTCAACATTCAATTAGTATTATTCTATTTGGGAGCATAAGTCATCTTTACAATTAATCCGGGAATAGTCGTCGTTTTTTGTGTCAATATCGGTGTCTGGAAATAGTCGTCGTTTTGTGTCAATATCGGTGTCCGAAAATAGTCATTTTTGTCAATATCGGTATCCGGAAATAGTCATCGTTTTTGGTTCAATATCTGTGTCCGGAAATAGTCGTTGTTTTGTGTTAATATCGGTGACCGTTTTATGACCTGACATTGTGAGCATATGTCAATTGCATAGTGAATCCCTAAATAAGTCACTGTTGAACTCATTTATGTAGAAATTTATGTTTTCAGGTCTGCCGAATTTCGCCCTGCCTTTACACAAAGTAAAGCAAGAGATTAGTGTTTATTTCATCCCAAGTTATTTCGGTATCAACTCACCACTTACTAACAGGATAGTTCATGTTTTCTAAATAAAAGCACGACGTGTTATCGTGTGGCAAATACAACCATACAGCTGTGCTCATATCCATAGCAAGGAATGCCTAATATAGGGTTTTGTATAACAAGGCATGCATTACCATTAGCTTTGTACATCTCTAGAAGAAAAAAAAATATTTTGGCTGGAAGGAAAATTCTAACCTTCGCAACATCCACCCCACCCTCATCCTTCTCTCCTATTCATCAGCATGCACACGTTTCTAAAATGTAATATTATACTGAGAACATTTAGCCAAACATAAAAAAACGTTATACTGTAGCAAAATGAATGTAAATGTGTTAAAAATTATAGGGACGTCATTGTCAGAGCAAGGCAGATAAATCGGATCAACAAGCGGTAAAGAGGAATTTCCGTATCTTGCTGTCTGATTGGTCAGTCACAAGTCAGTGACTGGTTGACATTTGTCGACTGGTCAAGTAAATCTTTTTTGCATCATAGCGTCTAGAAAATAATTCGTACATATATATTGAACATATTTATTTTATAAGCTTGAAATATTACGAAGACTATTTGTGTGTATCTAAAAATAAGATATCAAGAGAAATAGGTTTTTGAATGCCTTCTATATCCACCAATACG